TATTCTTACTCATTGAAATAAACGACTCATGTTTTTTTTTCGTTTCATTCCATTTTCGTACCCTTTTTTTTTCCGATCCATTCCATTTTCGTACTTTTTTTTTTTTTCCTGTCAGGTAAATTAATCGACTACAATATTCATCAACTAAAGCGTAGTCGATTAAAGATTAGCAGCGAAGAATTTGAGGAGCGGATATGCATGAGTTTGTTATGGTGGACCAATGACCAGTGGCTCATGCAAGTATTTGTTGGCATGGTTTAATTAGGACATTGAACCTATATAATAAAAACAATTATAAAGTTTTATTTATTTTTCTCTAACAATTATTTTATTATACTTTCCAACTTTGCTTGTCTGAGACAGTTGAAGAGACCAGTCTGCTAAAAATCATGTTACAACTATGACAATTCAAAGTCCAGTTAGGTATACACTATACTATTACCCAAGTCCTAAAATCGAAAACCGACAGTTTTAGTACGCGAATTTTAATTCTAACGAGAATTGATTCCTTCTGGCAGGCATCAGGCTCAGATTCATATGCTAACGAGCCCGCTGAATCACAATAATTTACTTTTCACTTGTCAAAACCTGTCGGGTCGGTGGATTGGGGCCGTGGGACGAGATATTTCGCGTTTTAGTCAAGGTATATACTATATAGTATACTCTCTTACATTGACCAATAAAAGTTAAGAGTAAATGAAAAATTAAAGAATGTGGTGCATGCATTTAAATTAATTACTAAATAATTAGGCACAAATTGGATACCATGAACAAGGGCAAAGAACAACAAAGACCAAGGGTCAAAATCCGAAGCCCCATTTACTAAAAATATAATATAAAATGATCTTTTTTTTGTTTGTTTGATTTATGATGTGATATACAATGGGAAAACATTTGAGCTTAACGGTCCGTCAAATGCGGTCAGAAATGGAATACGGGTCTGTTTCGCAGAATCCGGGTTTGTGATTGTGGGGCCCGTTTTCACTATTCCCATGAATATCGATCAACTAATTTTGAGTGAATTTACAAGTAAATATTTGTATCAAATTAAATTTATGTGTTGCATTAAAACAATGCATGATTTTTAAAAAAAAATGAAAAGAAAATTAAAAAAAATAACACCCATCTTAGGTGGACCAGTAAACTGGCATGTAGAGTATCTTTCGAGATTTAAAAAACAAAACAAAATTCGAAAAAAAAAAGGACATCTGGATTTTTAGAATTCAGAATGAAAAAATATTATTATAAAATCGGAAATTTTTTTGGAACGGAGTTGGAAGAATTTGTAACTTTGTTCGAACTCACTCCTATGATATCTCTGTGTAGTGCTAGAAATAAAATAAAAAAATTTCTAAATCCCGTCGATTTGATCCGAAAATTTCTGATTTTGACTTAAGCTTATCGTTTCCAAATTTTTTTTTTAGAATAGAATTGGATTAATTTTGCACTTCAAAAAAATAAAAAAAATCTCATGATTCAATCGAAACTCATTTTTTGAGTTGGATTTTTAGTTCAACAAGTTGCATTGCATGGGAATAAATTGGTGACAAAATTGAGATTTTTTTTATGAAATATCGTGCAGATGACAAACTCGTGCTTATCTATAGCAAAAATACCATATAATTAAATAAATAAATAAAGTAAAAAATAAAAATCAATAGCAAAAATACTTTTCCAAATAAAGAAAAGGTGGCCCGAAAGAGACCCGAAGAGGCCATATTTATTTTGGCAATTTATTCCTATTAATAATAATTTATTTAACCACGAATTGATATTTTCCACCCTTCCAAAAATGTAATTGCCTATTCACGGCGTTTTCGTATTCCGTGAGTCTCTTTTGAGATTCTAAAATGGGACCAATTTTTTTTTTTCTTTTTTTTATTAATAAATAGCGCAAATTACCACCACCCCTGAGTTATGGTTAAACTACGGTCGCTCTCCTCAACTATGTATTATCTTACGAAAAGACCCCTGCAAATGTCAATTTAGGGATGTTAATTCGGTTAAAACGGAACTGAAATTTCAGTACGCCAACATTTCACACCGTTTACCGAACTAAATATACAATTTTGTTCGATAAATAACCGAATTGCATAAATTTTGTGTAAAAATATTTAAAAGAAGGGGTGACTGTAATTAAAAAAAAAAAAAAGTATTGTTGGCCCAGGCTGGATGGTGGGCTTTTTTTGGTTCTTGGGCCAAACTATATTAGATTGCCACGTGTGTGGTTTTCTCTAAACAGGCTGATAAAAAGTTGAGCCCAACTTGATTTTATTTAACTGAAATTCCTCTGTTTTACTTCATATATTTATATTCTAAATAAAATACCAGATATTCTTTAAATATTTTATAAACTCTTGAATATCTTTTAACATATTATTAAATTTAAAAAAAAAAATTGATAAGAAGTTTATATATTTAATCAAACGCACTTGTACAATCTGTGGCTGGTAGTTGCCATTTGAGCATGTCACTGACACTGGTCAAATTAACAGCGAGAATATGCAATAATACTTTTAATTATATATGATCATTAATGTAATTTGTAATATTGAAAAGTGAGATCAAATTTAATCACTACGTGTCAAAATATTTGGCTTCCTTGATTACAAATTATTTCTCACTTGAAAATTTGGATAGCAATAATTTCATTTTCCTCTGATGTACCGTGTATTAAAACTCTTAATCTTTTTTTTTTTTTTTTTAGAACGAAATGATGATTTATATTATGACGTCAAATCAGAGTTTACAAAATGTTGAATCTCAAGAGGTAAAGGATCAACACAAAAATCATCTTGAAAACATAGTCGAGCAATATTATGTGCTACTCGATTCCCATTTCTTTGGACATGGTTGGCAGAAAAAAGCTCAAACGAATTTGCAAGGGCATGAATATTTGTGATAATGTTTCCGTACACTGACCATTCTTCACATCCGTCACAGATTGCTGCAATAACCACGGCGGAGTCTCCTTCTAGAACGATTTTGTTCCATGATCTTCCTTGCGCAAATTCCACCGCTAAGAGTGCTGCTTTTGCTTCAGCCGAGGTGGGGTCCAGAGGTTGATTTATACAAATCGAATTCCAGCCCACACACTCACCCAAATGGGTTCGAGCCACAATTCCTACACCAACACATTTGTCCTTTGAGTTGATAGCCACATCGAAGTTGACCTTAATCACATTCGCAGTCGGCGGAGCCCAATGAACCTTTAGTGTTCTTGTAGAAAGCTGATTCACGAGGACTCGAGCTGTCGGGTGACGCAACTGATCTTCAATTCTTCCAACAAAAGAGATGACCTCCATAACTTCTTTGAACTCACCCTCGAAAACAAAACGATTTCGCGCAAACCAAATAGCCCAACAAATAAGCACGCATTTCTCAAAACCCACAATATCGGTCGACCTTTTCATACTCAACAACCACTCTCTCATATTATTCCCCTTCCACTGATGCACAATCCAGGAAATATGACTAAGAGCCCATACTTGCCTCGAGAAAGAGCAACTGGAAAAACAGTGAAATATATCTTCAACCTCGCACTCACACCGACCACAAAAATTATCAACTGTTATCTTCCTTTTATAAAGATTATCTTTGGTGGGAAGGAGGTTTTTACAAGCTCTCCATGCAAATATTTTAATCTTATTTGGGAGATTAAGCTTCCATATCCATTTCCACGGAGTCGAGGTGCTTTTAATGGAACTGCTCGACGCAGGGTTGGAGATCTCATTTTCCAGTCGAACTGCAAGATGGTAAGCACTACGAACCGAAAAACGGCCATTTTGGTTATAATGCCAAACCTGAATGTCTTTGTTGATTGAACTTCCAAGGGGAATAGCAAGAATATAATTCTGATCATCCTCCATAAATATTTCTCGGATCCTCATTTCGTTCCATTGGTTTGATTCACCCAAAATAAGCTCGCTAACCCTCATATCGGGGGGAAAGTTGGCCTGCGGCGTGATCGGTTTAAAGGTAGATTCCCTAGGCAGCCATCGATGTTTCCAAATCAATATAGACTTCCCATCTCCCACTCTCCAGCGCAACCCCGCCTCCAAAATTTGTTTAGATCCAAATATGCTACACCACGTAAACGAGGGATTTGAACCCAACCTTGCTCTTAAGATATCAGTGTGTGGATAGTATCTCGCGTTTAGTACTTGACCTAGAAGACTATAACTCATAATCAATCAAAAGATAACTCTTAATCAATTAAAAGAAAAATAGTTGATACATAGTTAATGATAAGAGTATTTTAGTCACTTGATAGCAATACTTCGAATACCAAAATCTTGGATCATTCAATAGAAATAATCAAAATGTAGAATCGCGACCCGTTGCTTATACAGAAGCAAGAACATTGGTATGAAGACGCTACAATCAATGCATGCTGCTTCTTCTCGATCTATTTAGCTCGACTCTTTATAATCGGTCCCGTTAGTACTTGGACTAGATTATCATGCCAATTATTGTTTAGACCTCAATCATCATATTTGCATTTCTATAATCCATATTTTCTCTCTTTTTTTTTCTTTTTTTTTTTTTATTAATCTGTGTGCAACAATTCGGATAGACAAATAAATATTATAACAGGGGATGTACATATGAAAAGGATAATGCCCTTTTGTGGAAGAATTAATTAAATATGAGCTATAGTAGCACGTGAACTTTTAGATATTGCTAAATTATCACCACACCACAAAGATTTGAGTAATATCGGTATGTTGTTTTTTCATTGTAGAAAGTAGAAAATATATATATAAATTAATATAGTAAGGTCAGTCAAATTATATTAATCTAGCGTAATGATATATAGATTTATCGAAACATTATTTAGCATGCTGTATGAATGAGATTATTATATGTACAGTTTAAAATTTCTATTTGACACATTAATTAATCATTTTAGATTGATTACCAGGTGGAAGCATTATTCAGAAACTAATCACAATAGAGATTAAAAATTAAAAAGATTTCTTGCCGACAAAAAAGATTAATTAGCATAATGAAAAACGAATTAACATTACTAATTCTATATATTAGTTATTAACTGAACAATAACACAATTCACAACAACTCCCAGATCTACAAGATCTTCACACAAAACTTGTATAATTAAGCAGAACAACGCATAATTAAAATTAAATCATCCAAGCCAAAGAGAAATTGGCACAAAACTCACACACAGGGAAAGTGAGGCAGAAATTACAATCACCGGCGGCACTGGGTGATGGCGGAGCAGCCGCGAGTGTAGGGATGAGCGGGGCCCCTAGCTCTGTAGCAGTTGTGTGTGTAGTACGACCTGCCGGAGCGCGGCGGGCAGGGTATTCTGTCCGCCGACAGCGCGCCGTACGAAATATAGTAGTGCATCGCTCTCTTCCATAGCAGCGACCGACCATGCGACGACGCGCCGGCTCCTTCCGCGTCTTCTCCAAGCAGCAGCTCTTCTCCGCCGTTGTAGAACGACATTCTCGTTCCCCACTGATCCATCGCCGCGGCGGAAGCGGCGGACGAGGAGGAGATCTTGGATGTGGATTCGTCGACTTGAGCTGAGGCGGCGAGAACGGCGGCGAGGAGAATTAGGGGAATGAGCGAGGTTTTGGGGGAATCCATTGGAAAGCGTGTAGAGAGAGAGAGAGAGAGAGAGAGAGGATTGAAGGAGAAGAGAGAAGGGTGTAAATGAATAAAGTTTCCTGTTTTGGGTGTTATCAGTAATTTTGTTTGATAGTGTTTGTTCACTTGTTTGTACGCTGGACACGGTAAAAGTCACATGAAGATAACTTGGTACAAAATTTTAGGGATCTAAACGCAATTACTTATTTCCTATATTACTAATTATTTAATTACTATTAAAAGTAATATTTAATACTGCTCCATTCATTTTGAATTTAGATCGCTTTTAAAAAAATAATTGTTTCATATGATCTATCTTTTAAAATTGCAATTTATTATTTCGTGTGCATTTTCTGTAAAAGTTATGCATAATAAAATTTGTTTAAATTTGGTGAACTTTAAACGACATATAATATGAAGAGGATATAATAGTAATTTTAGGTATTTTAAATTACTAATAGAATGAAAAAAGAAATTATGTTGGGTGACAGCTGTGAAAATAATTAAATGTCTTGCATTTCCTTTTTCTCTGGCCTTTAATTAATGATGGCTGTCTTGATATATGGGTGCAGTACTAATTATAAAGAGGTTGAAAATATCTTGAAAATTAAATAAGATACACATGAAAATTTTATTATAAAGGAGAAATCATTTTCCCCTACTCTATAAATATTTTTTATAGTTAAATAAAACGACTTTAAATTTTGTTAAGTTACGTTATATTCCGTGGTTATCTATGAAACAAAGTGAACCAGCAAAGTATATAAATCGACTAATTAATTAGATATTAGAGAATTAATACAATTCAATTTAATACAAATTAATACTGACTCATATAAGCAAACAAAAAAATTGAATGCTTTAACAATAATATATAGTACTGGACTACTGGGCATATTTATAAAGCTACGAAGCCCATAATTGTTAATGGGCCCATTTAAGTTGCATAATCAGCCCAATAAGTATGTATGTATATTGGGCTCTGTATATAAGCCCAATTAAACTTCCACCTTCAACTAAGTCCATTTATATATCAAGTATACTTATACGATGGTAGAATTACACTTTTTGCCCCTCATGTTTGGCCGAATTCCACTTTTGGACCTCCTTGTTACAGAGTCAACAAAGTTCACCTTCAAGGTTTAATTTTAAACACTTTTGGTCCCCGTCGTTACATTTACGTTATCAAGTAAAGGACAACACTATTTTGGGAAGAAAATTAAAATTATAACTTTTTTTAGGCTGAAAAATAATTAAAAGTTTATATTAATAAATTTTGCTAGTAATAACAACCAGGGGCGGTACTTGCAAGGGGCTGGGGGGCTGTTGACCCCCCAAGAAAAGAAAAAAAAATTTAGGTATTTGATATTATATTTTTTGAATATTACTTTTGGCCCCCCAAAGTTTTTGTAAATATATATTTTAATTCATTATTTTTTTTTTGTTTCTTCTCCATAATCTTATATAAATTATAGATAAATATATCATATTTAATATAAAATATAAAATAAGATGCTTAAAACTTGTATTATTTAAAATAAAATTTATGAATATTACTTATTTTTAAATTTTTTTATCAATGCCTTGAGATCGTGCCCTGAATCCCTGAAATATTAAGTGCAATACATTATTAGAATAATTTGAACTAATTTAGAATTTTATGTGATGATTAAAATATGGTATACTTATTATATATATGATATTTTAATTAAAAAATAGTAATATAAACTTATTTTTTGCAATGTTTTGTGAACCTAAATTTTTTTTCGGGCCGTTGCCTCGAACCCCAAAATTTTAGTTAGCCCCTACATTTTGATCCTGGTTCCACCCCCGATAACAACCACTGTATTAAATTATAGAAGTCATAATTTATTAATATTGTTGCCTTTTCTGTAAAGCGAAAAAAAGTCCAAGGCAGGAAAAGGTTGTAATTTTTTGTGCCTCGTTAAAAACAGCCATAATTTAATTTTATCATCATACAATTCAATTCATATTTAAAGTTGACAGTCCTGAGTGCAAGAAAAATGGAGTGTGTGGTTTCATCATCCTTGTGTAAAAAAATCTTGCAGGTGGTAGTTTTCATTTATTATTACATAAGTAAATTCATTGGGATTCACTCCATCTCTCTGCTTCTACTTTTTTCATCGACTCTGTTGTTCTCTAAAGTGTATATATATATATATATAACATACTCGCTCTGTTCCATAATAACTGTCTCTTTTTAAAAATATTTTTGTTCCATATTATCTGTCACTTTAAATTTCCAATACTGCATTAAATGCATTTTTTTCCTGTTTCAACCTTATTAATTCAACTATAAGTCTATAAGGATTAACCCTCTCTTATCACATCATTAAATAATCAAGGTTATTTTAGTCTTTTTAAAATATTTTACCTAAAATCAAGACACATTTATTAAGCTTCTTAATCCTTGTGCAAAGCCAAAAACGACACTTAGTATTTAAAATATTTAAGTTTTAATAGCATATATCAAAAAAAAAAAAAAAAAAAAGGGAAGTGAATATTGTAGTTTTTATTATCTTATGGCCTTTTCTATATGGATCTCTTTTGTTTCAAGATATCATTGTTTAGTAGTATTACGCAACCATTATTGCACACACACACACAAATATATATATATTGAAAAATAGTTCAACAAAAAATAATAGTACTAATTTAATAAGGTTCTATAATTGGATGCTCCGACATTATTGCTAGCTGTTGCTCTTACAAAGACATGCTTCAATTTTAGCATTCATACATAAACATATTAATCCCATTTGATTAGAATACAAAGTTCCATATTCTGTTTTTTTTTTTAATAATAATAATAATTATTATTACTATTATTATTACTATTATTTATTGTTATATATAGAGTTATTACAGTCCCACTTTATATACCTGATCTAAGTCGTTATCTTTCTGACACATTTCATGTGCATTTCCATACTTTTTATCAAAAAATTCCCAAGTGGCTAAGCAAAAAAGTGATTCCGATCAAATGCTACAAAAAGCCATATCCATTATCACCTTTTTCCTTTTTTTATTTCATTTATTTATTTAATTATTTTCCTTTTCATTTCGAAGGATCATAATAATAACTTTGATCAACATTGCATGCAGATTCATGCACCTACACTACACATCTTTATATCTACATCTCCAAACTCCTACCCAATTAATAATTCAAATTAAATTAAACAAGGAAAAAAATATATAGTGAAGTGAAAAAAATATATGAAATTAATTAATAGACTACAAAAAAATAATAATTTATTTTTCCATATATAAAATAATATATGTTAAAAAATGTCTGTGCCAAAATCAATTATGCATCCACGATTAATTGTGCAGGTGTGACTATCCATGATTGATGTATAAAAAATACAAGGATTAAATAATAATATCTCCAAATTAAAAAAAATATATATTTAATTCTCCATCACTATGAAGAATATCAATTATATAAACCCTTCATAGCTCACATTTCTCCCCACACTTCACTCCGACGTCGTTTTCCGCTCATAAACCCTAACCATCTCTAATTATTTATTTTCTTCCCCCAAATTAAAGATAAAAATGGATTATTTCAATCCGATGACGTCATTTCACATGAGCAACAACAGAACGGCGACTGAATTAAACGGGGGTTTTCAAGGAATTAATTTAACTTCCGACCAATCATCGGATTTCGAATATTCCGGCGGAAGTCCGGCCAAATTCCCGCACTTTCCGCAGAACATGGAATTTCCGAGCACGAGTTTGTCGGTATTGCAGAACAGGGGTTCCATGGAAGCGATGAGGGAGACGATTTTCAGGATGGCGATGATGCAGCCGGTCCAGATCGACGACCCGGAGACTTTCGACCGGCCGGCGAGGAAGAACGTCAGAATTTCGAAGGACCCCCAGAGCGTGGCGGCGCGCCGCCGCCGGGAGAGGATCAGCCAGCGGATTAGGGTTCTGCAGAGGATGGTCCCCGGCGGCGCGAAATTGGACACGGCGTCGATGCTGGATGAGGCGGTGCATTACATGAAGTTCTTGAAGAAGCAGGTGCAGTCGTTGGAAGAAGCCGCCAATTCCGGTGGCGGCGGCGGCGGCGGTGGTTCTGTTTCGTTTCCGTTAATGGGATGCTCTATGCAAATGCTTAGCTGAGAATATTCATTTCTATTTTCTTTTTTTTTAATTCTAATTTAAATCAATATTCCATATTTTTTTTTTATGGGAAAAGTTATTCCTGATTTTTGTACCTTTCTATTTTTAGGTTCCGTTTGTGTAGCTTTTTAAATATATGTGGAAAATTATGATTAAGTTCAGATAACATTATTTGAAAATCATTGTCGACCCAATTTTTTTATCGATCCACGGCGTATAAACGATAAAAACTACTTGAAAGTTCAAACTTTAGTCTACTGCCAGCATTGCAAAAAAAAAAAGAAAAAACATTAATTTAGAAATTAAATAATGTTTTAATAAAATATTATTAATATAGTTGGTTGACCGATAATTATTGGTCATCCAACTTTTGATGATGTTGGAAACCATCAACCGACAAATTATAGCTGGACTGTTTGAAATTTTCGACCCAACCCAATGAACTGGTTAAAAATTTATTATACGCTTGAAAAATGGATCGATAATGATTCAGAGTTATTGGGTAAAAACCAACACAGTCCCAACTCTAACCATTTTGCACTTGATAAATTATTGATCATATATGATATAACACAATTAAGACTATTAAAAAGTAATCAAAAGTCAAAAAGTAGTAATAATCGAACCATTTTGAGCTTAACTTAAGATGGGCCTCAAATCATATTTTATATGTAAAAGAAAATAATTTATAAGCTGTCCTTTTGTTGAAAAGAAGAAGCCCAAAATTACATAATGTTGTTATCCATTTTCATAACACAGTGGCCCATTTAAACCTATGGCCCGACCCATATAAACATAAGAGAATCTTCTTCAGTCTCTTTTTTCAATTGATAGATTGGTTCGGTGGGCCCGGGGCCTGGTCCCTAATTAAGATTTATAAAACATTGATGCATAAAATTAAGGCTAAATCCGACTTCCCCTATTTATTTTTTGTTTTTTAATAATTATTTAAATTGAGAAGAGTTGTTTTTTTTGTAATTTTCATACTTAGGTAAATGTTGTTAAGGTCAAATGTCTGAAAGCTATCGGCGAGGGTAACATTGAGATAATTTTCCAAGTACAAAGAAAAATCGATACAATCAAAAGTAGAATACGGTAAAGTGATATTGAGCTAAAGTAATGAAGTGAAAGTGGAATTTACCCTAAAATTAATTAATATTCGGCCAAAAATTGAAGAGAGCACGAATCACCGACCGTGGCATCTAGGATGAGATCATACAGTCAACAGTGCACTGCACATGCTTTTGTTTTCACCATAAAGAAATAAATAAATACACACATATATATATATATATATATATATATATATATATATATATATATATATATATATATATATATATATATATATATATATATATATATATATATATATATATATACATGTAAGCTAAGAGTTGAGACCAAGTACCCACTAGTATTATTAGGAGGGTTCTGTACATGCTACACCCAATGAAATATATTGGATGATTCTGGACCATTGATCTACACATAATAATACATACAGCTGTGTGTAGGACTGGTAATTGAGCCGGGCCTACCCGATGGCTCGGCCCGATTTTATTTCAGCTGAGCCGAATTAATTGTGAGCCGAGCCGAGTTTTAGCCTTTTAATTATACCCAATTAAACTATGAGCCGAGTTTGAGCTTACTATGGCTCAACCCGAATAAAGCCCGACTAAGTTGATACTTTTATGTTGCGGAGGTTTTCTTTTTTCTTTTCTTTAGTTTTATGAACATGTTTGAGTGCAAAGTTGAAAATAGTCATTTTTCTATCGTTCGATATAAGCTCGATATAAACCCGAAGCCCGAAAAAATTATTGAGCCGAGTTTGAGCCTATAGGGATAAGGCCCGATGGTATTTGAGCTTGAGCTTATATTAATGAGGCCCGATGGTATATGAGCTTGAGCCAACCCAGAGCCGGTCCTGAGGGGAAGCCAGAGATGCCATCGCTTAGGGCCCCATTTTAATCTGGGCCCCCAAAATTAAATAAAAGAAAGCTTAATATATATATATATAGATAATTTTTTTTAATAGAAAAGAATATTACTTATAAAAATTTATAAGATCGGGGCCTCGATTTTTAATCTCGCCTAAGGCCCTGGAAACCCTAGGGCCGGCTCTGAGCCAACCTAAGCTCGGCTCACATGGCCCAATTGTCAGTCCTAACTGTGTGTATATGTATTTAGTAGACAATAATTTGTATAGATCTATTACATAAAACGAAATCATCCAATGTTTTCTAGGAGGTGTAACATCTCATAAACCTTATTAATAAGTGTTGTACAATTTTTGTACACGTTATAATAGTGAAGTTACATTATATTGATGAAATTAGCATTTTTCTAATTTGAAATTTTTATTTAAGATTAAAATAATAATGTGACCTTAGTTGCTCCTAATCATTCTATTTAAGTAAGAAATAATATTCTTATATATTAAAAAAATAATAATAAGCTTATAGAAATATAGACATTCTTTATTTTTCTCAATTATGTTTAGAAATTTGTGTAGTCAACTAACTAGAAGCAGCAGAAGCGACAAAAACTCGGGTAGGTAGATCATTAAGACAAGACAACGAAATTTGTGACTAATAGCAATTTAGCCCCATTTGTTAGAATAAAGAACCGGTTTTGTATTATTTTTAAATTGCTAAGAAATTGTCTAATTAATTTTATTTGAATCAATTAAATTCCCATATATTTTGTTTATTTTTTTAGCTCGCAATGCTTATTATTTAAATTTTTGGTAAAATAAATTGTACAATTGTTTTTTAGAAATTAGGATAAGTACACGTGTGTGTGTGTGTGTGTCCCATGCAGTAAACCCAAAAAACATTAGCTTATTATAATTAATTAAATATTTGCCAGATAAATGTGAACTCAAAAGTTACCTACCGTCGTATGTGTTCACCCTTTTATTAGCTGCTTCTTTTACTTTATTAAACAAATTGTGTACTTAAATTAATTAAACACTTTTAAGTCGTTCTTAGTTGGCAACTTGGCATGTAAATTAAAAGTCTTATAATCAACCAGAGAAAAGTCTAAAGAAATTGTAAAAATATTCCAATATGCTTTATTCTTTGGTCAATGGTCATCGTTCAATTCAACTACCTAATAACTTATCCCACTTATTTAATTAATTATTACGGAATAATCTGATTTCATATTTTTCCATACACGTGCATATAATATATTGAATATGGATCTTTTATTTCAATTTGATGTCTCATCTTATTTTCAATTAATTGATAATTACGAAAAAGAAATTCCTAAAAAAATTACTCCATGTAAATAAATATGAGCAAAAGGAGAAAATAAATTACGGTTCAAATTCTACTCACCACCTAACTTTTCATAAATAAAAGTTTTTTTTTTTAAACAAAATTAAAATGTGACGGAGATATATCATAATTCATACGGATAAGCACATGGAAGCCGTGGAAATTAATTAACAAATTAGAATCAAGGACAAACTAATTAGTGGGGCTATTAATTAATTAATTAATGAAACCATTAATTAATTAATTAATTATGGGGACAGATTAAAATCAAGGACAGAGAAGTCGAATCTTAAATGTAGGCCTTTTGTAATAAGAATACATGTATATTTTCTTCTGTTTCCACTTTCCATAAATTAATTAATTAGATTAATCACACCATTAGACAAAAGTTTAGACTGATATTCAAGATTAGCTAGCTCCACTCACCACTGCCAAGCACGAGGAAACTACACTATCTTCTCCAATACTTAGGTTTATTACAATCAACACCCCTACGTCTACTTTAATTACTATAAACCCCCACATATTCTTAATATTAGCAAAAAAACCTTACAATTCAATTTTTTTAAGCAAACCACCCCCTAAAAACTCAAACATTTATGAGGTTTGGTGCTTGAAAAAAGCATCACATGGTAATTTTTACTAATATTAATAACAAAATTGTACGTACCAATTAAACCATAAAGTAAAGTAAATTTTCTATTTAGCCCCAAAAACGTAACCCTGAAAAGTCATTATATAATATCTATATCTATATCTATATTTATGTATAAAATTAAAACGTTTTCCATGAACGGAGCGAACAGTAACTCCAATTAATGATTCCAGTGAAGAGTCACAAGTAGCTTCAAAATATCCCATCTATATATACTTCTTTCCAAAACCCTAATTTTTCATCATCAATTTAACAAAATAAAAAAATAAAAAAATAATTTTTTTTGTTATGCATTTTACCTAAGAAGAAGAAGAAAAAAAAAAGAAAATCATTTTTAATATAATTAAATATGGCTTCGTCGTCGTCGTCGTCTACCTGCAACAAGTCTTTCTGCGACGACTATTTGCTACTGAAACCGGAAGAAGCGAGTTTCTCGGAGCTGGTGAAGATGCTTTTATCCAGCGATGTGGGAAAGAGGAACTTCGTCGACTGCCCGGAAGGGATTCGCGAGCCGTTTGGCCGGAGATGGATTATGATTGTTTCTGTTCTCGTCCAGAAGTTCTTGTCGGCCACGGCGAAGCCTATGGCCGCCGTTGGTTCTGCGTTCGAACATTGGATCAATTTGCTGTCGGAGAACGGTGGTTTCTTTCGCCTCATCCTTAAATCCATCAAAGGTATAATCTCTCTCTCTCTCTCTCTCTCTCTCTCTCTCTCTCTCTCTCTCTCTCTCTTCAGATTACCCTAATTGTTCTATTATTTTTTACTTGATAATTAGGTTACTTGATAACTAGGAGCCCCTGATTTATTTTGGAAATATGTACATTATTTATGTATATTAATTATATATTTTTATTACTTATAATAATTATTTCAATTATTGAGTCAGATGACTGATATAAATTGGATGAACTAAATAACTAATTATATAGCAAAAAGAAAAATGGAATTAGAGTGTGCTAATTAAATTAGTACAAACAATTAATCCAAAATTAGTGGATCTATCTTTGCTTGTGTCCAAGATTAGAAAAATAAATTAGCTTGGGTAATTAGTTCTAGGAAAAACTTAAAAACTTCTTGTACTCGTGTGGAGAATGATTATGGATGTTAATTACTAATTAATCAAGGCTTTGCATGCTTAATTTTGTTCTTAATTCATAATGATTATGGAGTGACCACCTCACGTGTTGCTTCACGTGTTGTCATGCATTCACCAACTGCATTAATTATCTACACTAATGTTTCTTACTAAATGTGTATACATATAAGCGAGTATAATTGGTTACCATAAATATGTATACTACTTGAGGCCAATAGCTAGATGCCAACTGGCAGATCCTCCTACACACTACTTTAATTAACTGCTACTTGTCTAGACTCCACCTATATATATCTACATGCTTGATGATTTAAATATTTTTTATGGGATATTAAATATTACTTAATTTACTAATTAATTAGTTACTAAGTATATTACTGGGTTGAAAGTTTGAGGTAGACTAAACAAGTAGTACCACGTGCAGGGGAAGTTGTACATCGAGACACTGCATCGGCTGATTTTTTATCGTTTATCGGAAACATTGACAAACGAATGGATTTAGACCCGAAAATAAGCCGTGAAGATGGAAGATACTATGCTGCACTTTCTGTAATGGCTTCTAAGCTCTCTTATGAGAACCACAATCATATCAAGTCTACCGTCGAGGACAACTGGAAGGTTCGTTCACGATTGCATCAATATAATCCCGTTTTGAATTTTCCGTCGCAATTAATTAATAATATAATATTTTTATCCATGCATATATATTATCAGTTAATTTGATATAACTACTCAAGTTTACTCTTAATGGTCATACATTGTTTTACGGTAATTAGAAAATTAAGGGTAATTAGTGTTAATTATGTGATTACTGATTTTATATTGGTTTGTACTTTTCATGGGTTCCACTTTTAAAGACTTTTTTTTTTTTTTTTTTTCTGGTCACGAGTTTGACAATTGGAACACAAAAACCCAAAGAAAGGGCAAAAAAAGAAGAAAAATACATGATTGGTGGGCTTGACGTACAGCATTACGTGATTATTGCATATTTAATTCTTATTATTTGCGGGGCCCACAAAATGAAATGATGAAAGTTAAAAAAATAATACAGCCCATTAGCCCAAGACAATAGACATGTGGATAAGAAGGA